CCCTGCTGCTTCCCCACTTCTCTCCTGCTTGCATTTGCTGTGCACTGGCTGAGCTGCTCTCATCTTTATTATCTTTCCATGCTTGGAGACTGGAAAATGAAGTGATTTAAACTGGGTGTTCATCAGCTCATGTGGGGTCAGTGGGGCCTCCACGAGGCTGGAGTGGTGCTGCTGCTTGCACCACCTGTGTTTTACCCAGTTCAATGCAGATCACTGAATAAAAATGGTTTGGGTTGGAAGGGACCCTTAAAGGCCACCTAGTCAAACCTCCCCTGCAATGAACCAGGACATCTTCAACTTGAACAGGTTGCCCAAAGCCTGATCCAACCTGACCTCGAATATTTCCAGGATAACTCATTGTTTGAGTTTTCTCAAAAGAACAGGAGCGATAACAAAAAAAACCAAAACCAAAACCAAAAACCCAAACAAACAAACAAAAAACCACAAAAAACTCAAACAAAAACAAAAAAACCAAACAACCAACCAATAAAAAAATCACAGCCATCAGCACAAAAATATTCCAGCCATCAATTGATTATTTTTTGTTAGTTATACATGGGACTACAGACAGGATTTTTTTTCTAACTTGCTACAGTTACTTTGTGTGCATCATAAAAGTGACTTTACTTGGGAGAAAAGAAAATATTATCTATGGGAAGTTATTGCCAAAAGCAAAAAAAAAAAAATCTTCCAAAGTAACTTAAAAATATTTGTGTTCAGGCAACAGGCCACCATTTTAAGTAATTTGATTTGAAGAGAAAACAACAACATAACAGCACTATCTGGATACAGTTTGGTCAAGTGGATTTAATTCAGGAGTTGAATGTAAAATTGAGTGGAAATTTGAAAGGGAAAAATCAGTACTGACTTGTAGTATTTCCAATTATTTTACTGTTTAATTCCTTACAAGGATTGGCTAGCACAACCCTAATGGGGCTGCACCAGTGCCCCATGTTGATTCACAACATCATTCTGAGAGCATCCAGCCATCCACACTGATCCATACAAGGGAAACAGCTCAGGAGGTTGGTACAAAATGAAAATAGAAGTATGATAAACAGGAGCAGTAACAGAACTACACCTGAGCATTTGGGCAAAATAAGTGGACCATCCCTATTTTCTCTTCTGTCCCAGGAGAAGAGGGGAAGGAATAGCACATCTGAGGGTGGCATCACAGCTCCTCCAGCCCTGCTTAGTTGGAGGAGATGATGAGGGAGCTGCCAAGGGCAAAGAAGGCAAATCAGAGCTTCAGCTGGAAGTCAAGTGCAGAGCCCTGTGCAGGCAGTCAGGCTGTGCTCATTGCCTGCACAGCCCTCAGGATGTCCTTTCCCAGAGACCTGATGCTTGGTACTGGTGTGACAGGGAGAATGAGACCTTTGCTAAGGAAAACTCAGGAAGGAGAGAAGGGAGGAAGATGGTGAAAACCCCAGGCACACAGTAAGACTCTTCCAACTCAAGGACAAATTTGCAGCCAGATTGAGTCTCACAAGGACAAAACTGCAGCCAGTTTGGGTCTAAGGAATAAGAACTGAGGCAACTGAAAAATAAAGTGTTTTAAAGAATGAGTGGGGCTTAAAGCTGCTTCTCCGCTGTAGTCCATGCTGGATGCAGTGATGCTGCATGGGTGGACTGGGGCAATGCTGCTGGGACATTGCATGGGCCTTCTGGAGCCACAGCACACAAGACCAGGATGATAAAGGGGAGAATCTGTTTGGAAGGACTTGCATGGATCTTCCATGCTCCTGAGTGCTGCCCCCTGCCACTGCACACAGCCAGGCCATGTGCTTTCATGGCAGCAGAACAGCTCTTTGATTTTGCAGAAGGTAACAAGTTAGTTCACAGTAAGAGCAAACTGGTGCCTAACACAGCATTTGTGGAACATAGCAAAGCATTCTGAGGGTGGGAAGAGAGTCCTCTCGTGGAAGGATGGTATGCATTTGTGATCTGGGCTCCCATCATACTCCCCAAACCATACGTAGAAAAACCAACTAAACAGCTGTCAGGATGCGCTAAAACAAAAGCATGTTCCCTGCCAGTTTTCTTGAAGTCAAGGGATTTAACCTTTCCTTTCTCTTGCTCTAAATTGTCCTTAAAAGAAAACCTCAACCGGTAGAAATACAAGTTTAACATGCCAGTTTAACATGCAAGTGTTTAACATGCACGTTAAAAACTGTGTTCATTTGTATAGACAGTAAACATATGTAATTAGAGAGATGCATTTCCTCTTTTTTTTGTGTGTTTCCAGCCATAAATGCCAAGTGTCACCACAGCTCTCCCTGGTCCCCCTCTGCAGTTTCAGGCAGGGTCAGCCCTCGAGCCCTGCAGCAGCCACGTGCTGCCGTGTGCCCACGGCACGAGCGAGTGGGGCACTTGGACATTTCACACACAGCCAGTGAATCCATTAGTGCTGGATCAAAGGTTGCATTTTCCGCCCTTGCACACACTGGAGCACGAGAGGCACACCCACCAAGGCTGCCACAGGCCTCATTAATCTTCTCAAAGATGACATTTCTTGCAAATTTCCTTGTTCCGTGTCCTGTGCTGGCAGCAGGCAGGGCAGCTCCCACACACAGCCACACTTGTTTGCCTACACTGTAATTTCATGAGTGCCTTAAGCTGACAGAAAGCATCACTTAAAGCAAAGAGCTGTTTCCTCTCTGCTCTTGTCCTTCCCTCCTGCACTCAGAAAAGCAACACTGAAGGACTGGTTTAGATCAAAATTGGTTTTTTATTGCGGGTTGATATAGACTCCTAACCCAGTCCTGCCCCCTGCATAGCCTCATAACACCCTTGCCAGCGCCAGGGGAGACCAAGGGTTACAGGGCAGGAATGAGCAGCTCAGGCAGTGGAGAAAGGACTCTGCAGCATCCCCACTTTGAGTTTTGACATTAGTTTCAGCTGACATTGGCTACCCTCACTGCTGGAACAGATACCCCAGTGACTTACCCCCATGTCCCAGTCCACGTTTCCATCGCTGTCTTTGTGACAGCATCAGACTGCCTGAAAAATAAACAAAATGCTTTACCCTCCTTTACCTTTTGTCCAACCAAGACACAGGTGTTACCCTCAAAGTAGTAATTAAAACACAGCATTAGGCTCAAGTACATTATTCCAGCTGAGATGCTGCAAGTCCAGAGGCTCAAAGCCTCCCAGGATACAAGTCCAATAACAAGCTTTTCCTCCTGGCACTAACCTGCATAAGCACAATACACCATCGGGGTGGAGCATCCATTGGCCCCCTATATTTGCTGCTTGCTGGGCTCTCCCATTTGAGCTGCTTTACTTCATTTGAACATAAACACATTAATGAATCCCTCATTTCATTTACTTTGCAGGCAGGGAGCAGGCTCAGGCCTTGGGGCTGGAGAAAGCCACATCCCAGGGGGGTCAGTGAAAACCAAGCAAGTGTTGTTCTTACCAGAGCTCAGGCAGCTCAGGATCTTTCAGCATCAAAGGGGTCTTATCTGCTCACAGAAAAAAAAAACAAACGTGCTAGCCTCGGCCAAAAACTTTGCCAAAGAGCATTGATAAAAATCTTACAAAATGAACTTTCTAATTCATGTTAGCTTGATGGACACCACAATGTTATCAGCAGAGCCACCCTCCAGGCTCACTGCCAGCAGATGTACTTGGCAGCAGGGAAGTGCCCTGGTAGCACATCCTGCACCCCGAACAGATGAGGACACCCATTACACACTTGTCATGACACAGGAGCCCAGAGACCTTGTAGGCAAACAAAGAGCAGTCTGAAGATAACCTCTTTGGAAACACACTGAGACGGACGTGGTTAATTAGCCCAAAGTAAGCAAACTGATTGAGAAAACCAAAGTAAGTACCCCCAAAGCTGTCACAGCTCACAGCTAACACCACCAGGGGACAGAACAGGAAAAAGCAGGAGTTGTTTAGCTTTGTCCCCCATGTCATGGATTTCACTAAGTAGCTCGAGACACCCTCCCTCCAGTGTCTGCATAGCAAAAATGATGTGGAGGGAGATGATGTGTGCAAATACCCCTGTAATTGTCTGTTCTGGCTCACACACTAATGTGATCACAGCGACACCCACCCGAGCGGGAGAGTGAGCTCAGCTATGCAGGTGTAGGGAGAGGAGTTGCCTCTGCCCAGCCCTGGCCTGGGAGGAGCAGTCACAGGGAAGGGATGAAAGTACAGCAGAATTAATGAAGAGTAAAGTACTCGTTTAATACACAGTTTCATTTTTCGTATTGGCAAAGTAGTTTTGTGCATTTATTGGGGTTGTTCCCAAGTAGATAATTTCTGCTTTGAGAAGCCTTCCTATAAATTGACTTTTAGGGTCTGTCTAAACTCTGAAATATTTCTAGCTCCTTTTACAGCCAGTTCTGCCTAAATGAGTCCTAAAGTCATCATATAGATTTCAGATAGTATAAAGCATGCAGGCAATCTTTTTCCTACACTATGTTCAAGGTAACTTTGAAAAGTCCATTAGAGCTAATGCAATAAAAATTTTCTGATTATCTGTAGTCCTGTTGTGCTGGTTTTGGCTGGGGTAGAGTCCATTATCGTCATAGTAACTGGTCTGGGGCTGTGTTTGGGATCTGTGTTGAATATTGTTCCTGAACAGCACTTACACAGAGACAAGGCCTTTTTGGCTCCTCACCCCACCAGCAAGAGGCTGGGGGTGCACATGGGGTTGGGGGGGACACAGGCAGGACAGCTGACCCAAACTGACCCAAAGTTGCCAGCTGGGATTAAACCACAACACCTGTACACACAGGTCAGTACTATGGCTTTATCATGAATTTAGGTTATAGTTTTAAGACTTGTAGAGGATTCCCCCTGTAAGGGGAAATGTAGGTCAAATGTCAAATAAGCAGGTGATTTCCTTTCATGATTTACTGGCAGTTTCACATACATCACATTTTCAAAGTGTATAGCAAGAAATTAACATAAAGCAGCATCTAATTTCATGTTAAATTTTTAATAATTAACAACTGGAGCAGAAATAAGTCTCAGGTAATTCTTACCACTGGAAGGCAGAAGTTTATGTCTGATTCTTTCTGATGGTTTTTCCTTTAAGTGACCTAAAACCAGGAGTACATCAGCCTTCAAAACTTTCCTCTAGGTTTATTCAACCACAGAAAGACTTAAGAGGTCTTTACCCACCCAGCTTTGGAATCATTGCAAATAAAACACTTAGGAAAAGCCTTGGATTGCCAAAGCTGAGATCCAAGCAAGTATTGACTTAACTGGTGAGAAACCACCATATTCCTTCCTTTAAACTAAACTGCAGAAGGCAACAGCTACTGCCAGGAAAGATGGGGACATCTGCAACTACTGCTTGAAAGAGGAGCTGAGAACAGGCTATCAAAAAAGGGCTCCCATTGTCACCCACATTCATCTGCATCTTGTGATTTATCTCACCATGTTGTGATCTCAGGCCTGTGGCCCCAGCCTACACATGCTGATTCTTTTCCTGCTCTGTAACTCTCTGTTCCTTTCCTGCAAACCCCATCAGTCAGGAGGAGCTGGGACCAGCACTGAGTTGTATTTACTAGTTCAGCAGCCAGCTCCTGTGGTTGCTCCATGTGGGCTGATTTGAGACTATATTTAGAGCATGAAATCCCTCTTACACCTCTATAAATGCTTCCAGTGACTCATCATGGGGAAATTAGCAGCCCTACACAACCATGAAAACAGAGAAAAGGATACTTTTGGGAAAACTGCCAACACTTTTTCTCCAATGGGAGTTTTAATTGGCACCAGCGTTTGTGTTCATTTTGATCCACGCTCTTCTACACTCAACAACAGGATTTAAGCATGAGAAGGCGTAGAAACAGTACAGATGAGGCATGTGACCATGAAAGCCATATGGGAAAGCACTGATCCCTTCTCTCTCTAGTATCAGCGTGTATTTATTGCAGTGTCTCTTTGCAACTCAAGGTTTACACAAACTCAGCAGAGAGGGTATTTTCAGCCAGTTAGGAGCACACAGACAGTCAGCTGCTGCACCTCAGCTGATGGGCAACAACACCCGCTCCTGCTCCGATGCTGTAATTTGGAATGTGGCAGGACAAGGTTCTGTCCAAAATGCCACACCCAGGATGGCAGACAGATGCCATCTCAAGCACTGATGCCAGCAGGAGGCAATAAGACAAGAGAGCAAAAAGTCTAGTCCTTGTCCCCTCACTAGGCATGGATGGATCTGGGGGACAGCATCACCCACAGCCTCTGTATCTGTCAGCCACACCAAGAGAAGCCACTTGCTGGAAAATGCAAAGCCTTTCTCTTCAGTTCTGAACTGAGCAGCAGCTGTAGGCACCATCCACCTCTGCTATTTCAAAGTTCTTCGTTTGAAGAAGAGAATATGTAGAAGAATATGGAAATGAAAACAAGCTTGTCAATAGTGGTGGGTGACTGTGTTCACAATTGGAATCAGTTTTGATAGCAAAAAGACATTTTGCAAGCAAATAGCCCATCTTGCAGTCCAGTACATTTGGTTGTTTTCCAAAATAAAAAAAAAAAAAATGCACTGAAACAAAGCTGCAGCATAAGCACTGTCTGTCCTGCTTGTCCAGTAAACAATAAAGATGAAATTTCACATGCCATTCAACTAAATACATATTTAAGGATTACAGCTATTACAATTTGCTTGATATATAAACGTGAGATTATTTTTTTTTTTGTTAAGTTTACTTGTGCTCTCCCTTTGGATTCCCTGCCTTATCATGCTGGGTGTAGAGAGAGGACACCAGGAGCTAGTTCTCCCACCTGCTCTGTAAGCTTGGTTGTTCCTCCTCTAGGCTGCATTTACCTCCTTCTCTGCCCTCTCCTACTCCTGATATTTGTTCTCCAAGAAGGGCTGCCAGCCTGGTGCCCTGGCCAGGTCATGTGCTGCCTGTGGATCCCAGAGAGGGTTACCATGTAGCCTCATCTGATATTCTGAACCACAAGGTGCTCCCTCAAACTCTTTCTTTGACTGGGTTCAGGCCCTACAAAGGGAAGACAAAAGACTGATTGCATTGAGTAGTTTCTCCTCCATATCCCAGAAAGACAAGGCACGACTTAGCTGAACACACCCAGAAAAGGGTTACTAAAATCAACCAACATTTCTGAAGCACCCCCAGAAAGCCAAAAATACAACCGCCTTGTCACAGAGCAGGGGCAAAACAGTTCCACCACAACCCATGGGACAGATGACCAGTGCCCCAGGCCTCCTCCCCCACAGCTCTGGAAAGAAAGGTCTCAGCTTTTCCCTAGAAGCACAAACAGGAGGTTCATCTCCCTCCAAACGTCTTTCACACAGGCAGTTTCTTTCTTCCACAGCCTCCTAAGAGTCTGAGAGCTCTTACATCTCAAGCAAGGGCTGACCCAACTTGTTCTGTTTCAGCACTGCTAATAACTGCTGAAAAAAAAGTCTTGGGGAGGGGGAAGAATTGTGTGGAAACTACCAGTTGGTATCGTTCAGTTTTTGTATGGTGGGAATCTAACTGGCATTTCTCAGGGAAACTTGGGCTTGTCATGGTTAACACTTTTCCTCTTGTTAAAAACAACTTAAATCAACCTTACTAGTTACCATCCATGGCTGGTCAATTAAAGCAGGAATCAGCACTCCAAAAGAGCAAAATTAAATTAAGTAATATTCATCTTTCATATGAAGACTTATTATGGAAATGATAATTTTGTTGGAGTTGATGCCCCTTTTCTGCTGTTCATTTTCCCCCAGGTAGCTTGCTGTAAGTGTCACGGCTACCTGAACCTACCATGGTGGGTAACACCATCCAGTTTAATGCAGAGAGCATTAGGAACTTAGTACAGGAGATACAGCCACAGTAAAACCTCAGTAAGGGAAGCTTTAGTATTTTTGAATATATGCTCCAGAGGGATCAGAGTTCGGAACACGCTTTGCTCTTCCACCACTTTCCAGCTATTTCACCCTGCACTAACAACTGCAACAACCCATAACAAGGCAGCCACTCCTGTGGGCTATGATCCATGCCAGAAACCTGGCTGAGACTATGGAAAGCAGCAGCTCAGGAGACAGGATTCAGCCCCTGAAATTACTTCACTAACGTTGCTGACAATAATGACCAGACACAGATGATTAGCAGCTGGGGAAAGCTCTGTGGTTTTATTCAGTCCTCGTGAAGTTAAGAACCCTACAGTGAGAAAGTCTCTCAAAACCAGCTGAGTTTGTGTTTGGGTTTTGTTTCCCAGTGTGCAGAAATTAGGAATGAAATACTGCTGTAAATCAGGCTGTTAGAAGAGCTCCCCCAGCCCTTTACTCACATCAATCATCTGATTGCCTCCAGTGAGAGTGTTTCCATGAGTGAGGACTTTTGGCAGGAGTAAAGTTGGAAAGATGAAGCACTTGTACATAATGACAGATTCATGGAATAATATGAATATTTATACACGCTGGCATGGGAGCACTAAGCTACCCATACAATTATTTATGTGCTGTGTTCAGACATGCCATTCATCTCAGCTATTCTCAACTGAGCAGGTTTGTGGCTCACAGAGGCAGCCGACACACGCTCGACCACGCTTTGCTCCAGTTTGTACCAGCACCAATTCCATTCTGCAGCTCCTGCAGAGCGATGACAAGGCAGTGAAGGCAGATTTCCCCCCAGCATTACCGCAAGGACCTTTATGAGCTTTACTGGCTGGGTATCTCCTACCCACAGCTCCGCTTCCTCTTTGCTTTTGCATGAAGCCAGAGGGATTCCCCCACAGCCTGACTGGCATCCCTAAATGACTCACTGAGGCTGAGGCCCCAGAGACAGAGCTTGAGAGCACAGTACTCTCTCTACAGGTTTTTCCATGTGGCAAACATCTCTTTTTTTGTGCCAAAGCAGTATTTTCGAGAGCCTGGTGTCAGCTGCAAGCAGTTAAGCACAGACACTGCAGACCTGGGGTGCCAGCTTGCTACAGTGCGCTACAGGAAAAGAAAATATTTTGCAATTGTTACTTCTCTAAATCAACAGGAGCGAATCCACCAAATGCATCATGAAACAGCGGAATACAAAGGTTACAGGGAAAAACTACAACGTATCTCACAAGGTGATATGAGCAGGCACAGTGTGGAAATGGTGTGGATCTCCTACCCAAGAAAAGCAGTCTGAGAGAGGCATTCACTAAGGTGAGGTAAGAAACCTTACATACTTGTGGTAGTTACTGAAGTTTTTTCCTACCTGCAGTATTTTTCTTTATGGAACAGAAATCAGCAGAGAAATACTCCTAAGCATGGGTGGCAGCCCAGAGACTCACATACTGCCAGAGCTGAACTATGACCTCCTAAGCCCAGAGTGCCAGGAAACGGTGTTCCCAGGGAAGATTGCTTTCTAGTAGCATTTCCCCCTTCTCTAAATAGTAATGCACCCACAGGTTGCCAGCAGTAACAGTGTGAGGGAATCAGCCTACCCCTCTCTTGTAACACCTTCCCCATTACTCCTGCCACCTTGCACAATCAATACTAATTACAGCCTCACTGTCAACTCTACAAGCAAGGAGTAAAATGGTGATGATAATGATGATGGGGTAATAGAAACATTCATCCTGTGCACATCGGTAATCCAAACTCACTCATGTGTTCCGAAGGCATTAGGGTGGATGTGTTCTGAATCCAGAGAGATTCCAATCAGGCTATGGAATAGCTGTGTGAACCATTCTGACCATAACCCCCCTAAGTTAATTAAAACATCAAGTGTTTCCAAACTAGTGGCCTGTAAATAAATGTTTTTCACAGGCACTCTCATTCATGAAAATGTGGGAGACAGACTGCATCAGTAGCAAGGAGATATCTGCCATTCCTTGAGGGGAAACAAGCCCAGGCTCATCCTCCTTCAGTGCCAAATGCCGAACAGCAGTTTGGGAGCATGAGATCCAGCACCAGCATCTCTGTGGTGAGACTAGAAGATCCTTGTGTGTAACCCCACACCTAGAAGCATCCAAGAAGACACCTGTGGTAGGCAGAGCAGGTTTTCCTACCACAGGGTGATCTGAACACTGTCACCATGGGCAGGCCATGTGCAGGGAATTAGTGGTGTCCTAAGGGCACAGTTTATCCCTGATTCTCACAACACCTTCATGGCCACAATACAGCATAACACCCTGAGCCCTGCAAATCTCATACACACACACAGTTGTCTTCTCTAAATCAT